GGGAAGGGAGGAAGAGAGAGAGAGAAAGGGGGGAAGGGAGGGAAAACAAAAGGGAGAGAGGGAGAATGAGAAGGAGAGAGGAAGGGAAAAAGTGAGAGAGAGGAGAGGGGGAGGAAGGCAAGAAGTGAGGAAGAGGAGGGAGAAAGAGAGAGAAAGAGAAAAGAGAGGCGAAAAGAATCAATGAATGAGTGAGGTCGAGGGAGAGGGAGAAGAAGGATAGGAAGAGAGAGAAGTTGAGGAAGACATATAAGGAGAAGGAGAGGGAGAAGCAGGGGAAGAGGGAGAAAGTGAAAGAGAATTAGATACATATTTGATCAGATTTTCTAATATTTTCAAGTATTCCTAATGGTTATCGCCAAATGACAGCTAATTTGCACACACACTTGCTGCCCTTAATTACGACAGCAAGCAACTTGTACACTTGACAAGCCCCGAAACTTGCTTCGTGAGATAGTTCAGCTTTATACTTTTTTCTAAATCTTCGTAAAGTATTGAATAGTTTAGTTTGTTTCATTTCTATATATATATGCTATATCTCAAGTCATTTGCTCTGTGTATAATGAAAGACTAGATGATGAGTTACAAAGGAGCGTCATATCCTTGAAGCATGTTGAATTATCGATGTTTTATTATCTATGTCATTTCCGTTTCACATGCTGTTTTATCTGTTACAACGACAAGCATTCTGAAAGCTTCATATATTTCATATTTTGCAATATGTATGCCAACAATACGTAATGTGTTGTGATTATTGCAAAATACGTATTTATTTGAAGATATCACCGAAGAACATTTTGGAATAATATGAACGCTTTGGCACACAAAGCAACAGTATTGCTAGGCCCAAAAAGGGTATAGGATTGATAAAAGGCAACGGAATGGAGTAGATGGAAATAGTTCAATGGAACGTAGTGACTTAAATATTTAGCGGAGGGTCCCATTGACGGTTAGGGATAATTTCATTTTCTTTTTCTTTTTTGACGAACACTCGCTATAAAGGTATTACACATTTTTCTGGATGTTATAAATATAAATGGATTTTAATACGTTATGGCTTTATTGAGTTATCCGGTACACATAATTCGAGAATATTATTTCCATGATAACGAATATAACAACTTTTCATTTTTTGTAAAACCTAATTACCATTAAGCGATCATCAATGATGCCTGTTAGATATTGATTATCATTGCCTGCTAGTTGCTGTACGGGGCAGGATAGGTAGCGTGTTTTATCTTGCAACCGTATGCATCCCCTGGACCTGTCAATCATAAACCGCCATCTCAAAGCTTCCACTGCTGTGTAATGTGAACTGTATATGCTAATCAAAGTGGGTAGTATCCCAGCACTCTTTTCTCACGATTTGCTGGCCCAGAGTAACAGTTCTTACTCCCAAAGTCCTCGCAGTCACGTTCCTGTAATCTTGTTCTGGTCTTAAACTTTATCCTTCTGAAACACCTGAAAGTCGACTTCGATTCCCTCTCACGTAATACTCGAGGTGTTAGGCTCTTGCTTAAGAATTCTTGTAGTTCCGTTGAACGAGACTGGTAGATGTTGCTGTTTTTAAGCCTCCTCCATAGCCTTTTTATACAATATACTTGCTTTCGTAGGTCTGTTCCTGTAACTGCTGAATGAATCCCCCCCCCCCCTCTTTCTGACACACTGTTGACCGTCCGGGCAAAGAAAATTTGATTAATAGCAAAGACCTTTACAAAGGACAATTTTCTATGGGATTAGATAAGTGTAGACCAAAGCTATTCCCACACACTTGCATATGGAACCCCTTACTTTTAACATGGTCCTCTTCGTCACTTTCTTCTGCAGTCTCCAGCATCATCGATTCCTAGGGCTCCGGAGCCAGGAGCCCGGATCTCCTGCTCCCCTGAGCGTATAGAAGGGATACTGACTAATCAATACTTGGCTAAACTGATCTCTGACACCATTTTTGCTGGATCTATCACGCATACATATATATACGTATGTATATATATACTTATATACACATAAAAGCATGTATACATTTTTGTGTGTGTGTATGAGTGTGTGTGCGCGCACGCGCGTGCGTGTTTTCATATTGATAATCTTAAATAGGTAAATTAAAAATCATAAAATTTTACCGTTCAAGCAATATATCACACATACTAATCTACCTGATATTTCGACACCCGAATCGTGACACGATTAGGCAAACATGCATCCATTATCTCTACTGAAAACAAAATCACAACAGCCTGGTGGTCAGGTAATGGCAGTTAAAAAGGCAACTCACTGGGTTTAGTATGCTTGTTGGTCGTGACTCAGCAGTTACACGTCGTCCATCTCCTTCTACCGTATCCAACTCGTCCTCGTCCTGTGGTCAGCTGGTCACTGGTAATGAGGTTATGAATGATGAATGGTTCTACTATGGTCATGTACAGACGGTAATGATGTGTCTTGTTGCGTGTCTACATTGCATCCGATGTATTTGTTTCTTTGTCTACCATTTTTTTGTTTGGTGTTGCTCTTTATATTATTTACCATATCTGTGTGTGTGTGTGTGTGTGTGTGTGTGTGTGTGTGTGTGTGTGTGTGTGTGTGTGTGTGTGTGTGTGTGTGTGTGTGTGTGTGTGTGTGTAAATTACTGTAAGTTTACCAGACCGTTTAACTCTTCGGTAAGCATCCAACACGCAGTGGCCATTATGGTGTTGAAATCTTTATTTGCCAATGTTAAAAAACTCCTTTGTCACAGACCTAACCATTCACCAAAATCATCTACTGCGAATATCACGTATACACATCTACGCAATTTGCGGGGGAAAGGCATACAAACCCTCAAATAGCAAGACGGTTATCCTGACACATTACATCACTAATATGATGACAACGATTATTTTTTTAAACACAAGTGATCAATCATTATACACCGAAACAAACCCAAAAAAACTGGAAATTTGCCGTCAGAGTCAAGCAGTGACACCATGGCCTTGGAAAAGAGAGCCAAGCAGCTCTTAAGTAATGAGCACCTTTAAGCCCAGTGAAATACTAGCAATGAGCCTTCCGAAGCAACATCGTCACTGCACGTCACGAAACAAAAGGAGCGTTGCGTGACGCCTCAGACCGGACTACTCTGCCTGAGTGCTCGTCTGCTGGGGGCTTATTGCACGCACTGGAGATGATCGTCTATTTCTCTCTGCTTCATCATGCATGTCTGTTTGTTTTATGTATATGTGCATGTATATATGTATCTATGTAAGTATGTATATGTGTGTATATATATGTATATATGAATATATATGTATGTATGTATGTGTGCATATAAAAACATATTTATATGTATGTATACACACACACACACACACAAACACACACACACACACACACACACACACACACACACACACACACACACATATATATATATATATAATACTATATGATATCTTTATGTACATATATACAGTATACATATATATAATATTATATATATTATATATTTATGTATGTATGTATGTATATATATACATATATATCATATATATATACATATAAATGCACACACACACACACACACACACACACACACACACACACACACACACACACACACACACACACACATATATATATATATATATATATATATTTCAAACGAAAGTATACATATAATACATATGCATATATTCACGCGTGCACAACCATACATGAACGTATGCATATACATATGTTTGTGCGTGTGTATGTATCCTCGTATGAATGTATACCATAACATATACGTGCTCTGTCTGGTGCACAGGACGAAGCACGCCTGAGCCAAAGATGCCTCGAGCCTTCAACTTTCCCGTTTAAAATTCTGTTACGCAAATTGAATGTGCAAATAGTATATTCGGGCTTACGGTCGGGGCTGGAAAGGGAAGAACGGAGAAGCTCCAAATTTGCGAGAGTTGATGGCGGTGAAGGAAAGGGCGAGAGCGGCGAGGGAGTGAGTGGGTGAGGGTGTGGGTGTCGTTATTAATTGCGTTAAGTGTGGATATGCTGTCCATTCTTGGCATCCTGAGAGAGAGAGAGAGAGAGAGAGAGAGAGAGAGAGAGAGAGAGAGAGAGAGAGAGAGAGAGAGAAGAGAGAGAGAGAGAGGAGAGAGAGAGAAGAGAGAGAGAGGGGGAAGGAGGTTGAGTGCGTGCATATGTGTGTGTGTGTGCGTGTGCGTGTGCGTGTGCGTGTGCGTGTGTGTGGTGTGTGTGTGTGTGTGTGTGTGTGTGTGTGTGTTGTGTGTGTGTGACAGACTTACTACAGGTGGGGTAAGAGAGAGGGAGGGAGGGAAGTGCTCTATGACCCATCAACATGGTGAAGTGACAACATAAATGTCACAGATTACGAAAGATTATGTAAGGGAATCATTGTTAT